CTTCTCTCTCGTTTTCTTCCCCAAACCCTAGCTGAGGCGGGCGGCGGCGGACGTGGAACCCTAGCGGCGGCGGCGGGTTGAGAAGAAGATCAATCCCCTGTGCTTCTGGCGTTGAATGGGGTAGTCCTGCTTGGAGTTCACTGTGGATCCAGAGGATTGGCCGCGTATGGCGGTGAAGAAGGGTGCGGGCGAGCGACCGAACTTGCGAGCTGCCGGATGAGTGTTATTCCCCCTAGATTGCATGCTCCTTGGTATGGATCGATTAGGTCGGGTAGTTGTGAATGTGGATGCTTAGGGTCCGTCTTGTTGATTGTGGTGTTGTTCCCCGTTGTTTGAGTTCTCCTTGATTGCGTGCTCCTTGTTGTTCATCTGTAGGATGGACGTAGACAATAGCTTCAACCTAGAAATGCGGATTGTTACTCCCAATTCACGTGCTCGGTGGTTTTCTTTGAACAAAGTTGTGGATGCTGAGCTTACTAACTTCGAAGATCTGGTTCATGATGTTGTTGACAAGTATCCACCCGATTTCGGTGAGGTAGCTCGACTGTTTTATTTCTACAATCAGAGTAAGGTTAACGTTGAAGTAAGGAGTGACCAAGATATGCGTGAAATGTTTGCTAAAAGTAATGAATCAAAGTGTTGTTTCTTAACTGTTGCCTATAATAGGCCAACTAGTGAGCCTCAGATTCCTGATTGGGATTTTAGTCCCCCTGCCAACTCTATTGAAGCCCCATTCACTCCTTGATCCTTTGTCCTACCAGAAAGCGAGAAGAAAGCAATGCCTCCAGAGTGCCACCCCAGTGAATGTCTTTGAACTCGAATATCCGCTAACCCAAACCCATCCAATGAGCATGTGGGTGTTGATGAGGAAGGGTTGTACATTGACCTTGGCCCCAACATCCCCCACCTACCAAACCTCATGACCAAGTTTGCGAGAAGCAAAGGCGACTGAAAGTTCGATGGTTCGCATAAAGATGATGACTCGACGATGAATCCTTGTATGATGATGATAGTGAAGTAGAGGACTTAGATGATATTATTAAAGATAAAGAACCTGAACAAATGCCTGATGCTGATTATGACAAGAAGGACCCTCCTATGGTCAGAGGAAACCGCTTATTTATTCGGACATTCCTTCCTTTAAGGTGGCTTTAGCTACACATTTCGTGAAATATGAGTACCATTATAACATTGAGGCAAGTGACACAGGAAGGTATAGGGCAACCTGCACTGCCCATAATGATGGCTGCCCGTGGAGAATCCATGCATCAACTCTGAAGGATGGTGTAACTGTTAAGGTACTGTGTATGTACTTTTTGTAAATGTTGATAGTAATTTGGTTCTGTTATTACTTATTGCAAATGCATGCAGTAACTGTGGAATATATATTTGTTTTGCAGATAAAGAGGAACCCATTTTCCCATCAGTGCTAGAGCGCCAGGAGGCAAGGAGTCGTGTAGGAGTGACTCGGCCTGGGTTACATCATCAAGTGGTTGATTGGCTCAAGGAAGATGGGACTGTGGGTGCCACTGAACTACAAAGGAGATTGAAGGATGAACACAAGATTGTGGTGCCCTACAAAAGAGTATACAAAGGTAGACTACTTGCCATGGATAAGATTTATGGCCCATGGGACAAAAGTTTTGACAATCTTTTTAGATTTAAGGCCCAGATAGAGGAAACCAGTCCTGGTTCATGGGTTGTGATTGATCACCACACCATCAATAACAAGATAAGGTTTAATAGGCTCTTTTTTGCACTTAAACCTTGTGTTGATGGCTTTCTTAGAGGTTGTAGACCATATCTTCTGATGAGATAGCACATTTTTAAGCTGGGAGGTTTAGGGGCCGAGTTGTGCATTTTTCTGTCAGATTGATGGGCTGTTGGATGTACCGAGAGTGAGAGGGTGTCATAGATTCTGAAACCAATAAAAATTGGGTATGGTTCATGGGGAGGTTGAAGGAAGCAATAGGCAGTCCACCTGGGCTTACTTTCTCCATATATTGTGGCCAGACAGTGATGAATGGAGTTAATGAAGTGTTTCCAGAAGCTGAACATAGGGAGTGTATGTACCATCTAGTACAGAATTTCAAGAAGAGGTATAGTGGTAAAAAATTTTATGAACACTTGTGGGCTTCTGCATATTCTTGGAGTCCATATATGTTTGATAAGCATTATCAAGCAATGGCTGCTGCCAAAGCAGAAGCTATGAAGTACCTTCAAGACACTCACAAGAAGCTATGGACTAGGAGCCAGTTTGGCACTGCCTCAAAAGTTGATTATGTGACTAACAACTTGGCTGAGTATTTCAATAACTGGATAAAGGGTGAGAAGCAGAAGCATCTGGATGACTTGATGGATACCATCAGACAGAAGATATTGATCAAATGGAACCATAGGAAGAGGGTGGCCAGAAAGTTTGAAGGAAAGATTTTGCCCCATATTGTGCAGAAGCTAAAGGATGACAGTTACAATCTTGATATTGAAGTGATCACAAGCTCTCCTGAAGGTGTTGCAGAAATTTGTACTAAGGGGAGGTTTGGGTTTAGGTTTGTGGTGGACTTAAGAAATAGGACCTATTCCTGTAGAGTCTGGTAGGGGTCAGGAATACCCTGCAAGCATGCTATTGCCTACATCACCTCAATTCCAGGTGCAAGACTACAAGATCATGTAGATGATTTCTTCTTTGTCCAGAAGTTCAAGGATGCCTATGCAGGCTCTATCCTATGCATTCCTGACAAGTCCATGTGGCCGAAAGCAACACATGGCTTCTTCATGCACCCTCCATGTCTCAAGTCCACTGGTGGTAGGAGGAAGAACAGGATGAAGTCAGCTGTTGAGGGAGGTAGTAAGAAGAAGTCAAAGAAGCATGAGTGTCCTATATGCCATGAGTTAGGCCACCATTGGTACACCTATAAGAATGGGAACCCAGAAGACATTACTGCAATGGAGGCTGAAAGGTAAACATGTACTTTATTTTCATTTGTCCTATAAATTAAATACATATACTAACTATAAACTTGTCCTTTGCAGGGGTCTCCCAAAGAAAAGGCAGAAGAAAGTAGCAAGTTACAATACAGAGACTAGCCTTGCTGTGAAAACTCTTGCATCAGGCATGATTTTCCCACACAATGAGGCAGTGGCCAATGCTACACACCAGAAGAGGAAGAGGAAATCATCTTCTTCATCAAAGGGTCCAGCTACCAGTACATCAGCTACCAAGAAAAGTAAGGGCCCAGCTACCAGTACATCAACATGTCATACAAATTCCCAGACTAGTAGGTAAGCATGATCCAATTCTGCATTTGCACTTTTTGATGAAAACTGTGTGCTTGACCTTTCCTGGTACTTGACTACAACAGGTCTGGAACTGGTTCCAATGACCCTGTTCCCCTCCAGTCTGTGTATCTTGCCCCATTTCATGAAGAGACTGTGCAGACATAACCAATGGAGGTTGTTTTGCCCCAGCCTTCACCAAGGAAGAAGATAGGGTTGAAGAAGAAGCTTACACCAAAAAAGCTTTTAATTGTGCCAGCCAGCCCAGCCAGCCCAGCTTCTAATACCAGGAGCAAAAAGAAGGTAGGGTTTAAATGAAAACCACCTGTGTTTAGTTGTTATTTTGGTGATTTGGCTGCAAAAACTACTGCTGCTTTGCTATCACTTTATTTTGGCATGACTGTGATGTAAGATGAAACTGTGATGTGAGATGAATGACTATGAGATGGAACTCTATTGGTTAGATAAAACTTTGTGAGATGTTTTTTTTTGAGATGTCAGAATTACTATGTTATCATAAATTAGATCATAACTCTGATGAAAACCATTCATTCATGCATCACTAGTCTTCATTCAAACACACACATACACAGTCTGCATACATAGGGTCTTACTTTTTTATGATAGCATATAAAGCAAGAAAGATGCATACAAACACCAGCTTTTCAATCCACCTAAGCTGCTGAAGAACCCTATCTTCCACTACTGCATTGCCTACAATTCTAGCCGACTAGGAATCTTCTTGGACGATGGCCAGAGGAGCTGCTGTAGAGATAGGAGCTGGTGCTGCCACTGCCTGCAGAGGAATGGCCTGTAATGGAGCAGGTGCTTTAGGTGGGTGCACAACAGTGTCCTCCATTTCGTCCTCCCATTGATAAAACTGGCACCCTCCGGCCTATAAACAACATCATCAACAGATTAGCACCAAACAGGGAATAAAGAACAACCTATAAATGAATGAGCAAGGAAGAAAAACGAACTGCAAAGTACGGGCACTTGTGGAAAGCACGATTGTGGTTGTTCGTAGTCATCGATATGAATCAATTAGCTAGCACACTACAGTTGGGGCACATGACCCGCCTGGGCCTCCTCCCATAACTGCTTGACGCTTGAGACATGGCACTGGCAGCAAGGTAGCAGGAGAGACAAAAAAGGAGAAGAATGAATAGGAAGGGAGGGCTGAGGGCCTATTTATAGCACCAAGCAGGGTCTCTTTGGCGCCAAGCCCAGTGCTTTTGGCGCAAAAAAACTTGCCCACGTCAGCCGTCTTGGCGCTCAAACGCTTGGTCAGGAAGTGGCACACAGGGCAAACGGCAATTTCACTCATCCTCCCTAGACTGAGGGCACTTCGGTCTTTTCTTCTCGCCGTTACACACCGTTACCAGTGAAAATAGACGGAATGGCTTGAGGGATAAAGAAATAAAGTGTCATGACATCTAGGTAAATCCGAACTTTTTAATAGCCTGTAAAAAAGACCATCTTTTTTAAATAGTACACAGGAAAAAGGCTCTTAAAAAAAAAACTCCAGCGGCTGCTGCCCACAGAAATTCCCCCCAATTCACCTTAAAAAAAGGAGCAAGGCTTGCTTTTCCGGAAATCTCCTTCCCATCAACGGTGGTGTCGGCCACCTGAGCAGCTCCCCTGCCCCTCCCCAGCGGCGGCTCCACTCCGCACAGGGTTCGCGACTCTTTCGCCACCGAAAGGAGGGAGGCGGCGCGGCGGAGATGGTGGGGGGTGGTGGCGGCGGCGGCGGGGCGCTGCGGCGGGTGGGCAAGTACGAGGTGGGACGCACCATCGGGGAAGGCACCTTCGCCAAGGTCAAGTTCGCGCAGAACACCGAGACCGGGGAGAGCGTCGCCATGAAGGTGCTCGACCGCTCCTCCATCCTCAAGCACAAGATGGCCGAACAGGTGACCGAGCTGGCCCTCGTTTTTCTTCCCCCCTCAAATAATGTTGTTGGGATGGCTCGCGGAACCATTTATTTTCTCACTGATTCCGCGCTCGGTAGGTTCATGTTGTGGATTTTAATCCTTGCTATGCCGTTTCTGTGGACGAATTTCTCCTCCCTTTCAAAGGGTGTGATCAAAGCTTCGCAAACTGTTGTACCATGCCTGCTTCTTTCGCATCTTTTTCTAAACATTAATAGCTGTTCTACGTTGTGATGTACAGCTGCACAAGCTAGCTGGGAATGGTAGATGTCCTAGGGTGACTTACCTTCGTGCACACAATTCTTATTTGCAGATTAAAAGAGAGATATCCATAATGAAGCTTGTCAGGCATCCCAATGTCGTTAGGCTACACGAGGCACGCTTATCTATCTCTTCCTTATAACCATTCTTTAACATCTTTCTTATCACTTGCCCTTTTTTTTAAAGTATCCGTGTCATCCATTCTGTTATGTGCAGGTTTTGGCAAGCCGGAAGAAGATATTTATCATTCTGGAGTTCATCACTGGTGGCGAGCTATTCGATAAAATTGTAAGACTGCTATGGTTAACTATTTACTGTCCTTTTCACTCTTGACTTTTTGATATGATCTAGGAAAATAAATATTAGTTCCATGGATTTGTTGTTTAGATTATATGCCTGTCACATTCCATCTTGGATGTTCAATTGCTACCTTTGCTTTTACTGTAAGAGGGCAAATTCATTGGACATGGAAGAGACACACATTTCCCTCAGAACCATTGCATTTTAATTTATATTTGCAAAAAAAGAACATGTCACTATATGGTCCTTTTTGTCCATCAATTGTGGATGGTATCTGTGGTTTTGATTCTAATTCCATTGAATGTGTTATTCCAACATATATGTACTAATCCAAAGACTTGAATTTGAAGACATACTTGCTCTATTGGACTTTATCTTACTTAGGTTCAATTCAAACAATATGTTTACATGAAAAGGAAACTAATGACACTGAAACATACTATTTTCAGATTCGTCATGGGAGACTCAGTGAAGCCGATGCACGCAGATACTTTCAGCAGCTTATTGATGGTGTTGATTTTTGTCACAAGAAAGGAGTCTACCATCGAGACTTAAAGGTGAACATTGGATAGAAAAAATGATTTAGTATGCATTTCATGATTTTTGGGATTGTTAATCTCGTTTTACATGCATGCAGCCCGAAAATCTCCTCCTTGATTCCCAGGGCAATCTTAAAATTTCAGACTTCGGACTGAGTGCATGGCCTGCTCAGGTGTGTATCTTTGTGAAGCTTCATTATACCTTATTCTTTTTGTTCCCTTCTTATGATGCTTAGTTTAAAAAAAAAAAACTGTAGGGATCTTCCCTTCTACGTACGACCTGTGGGACCCCGAACTATGTTGCCCCAGAGGTACACCTGAATCATACACTCAGTTCTTTCAAGAATTACTAAACCTGCCACTGAAACAAAGTGGTGATTTAAGATATAACTTCTCCGTCTTAAGATGTTAGTACTTATAGTGCTTGTATGTGGGTACCCAATGTTAATAGGGTGAATAACCTTTATTATATCTTTGTTATGTCAATTTGAAAAAAAGTTAATTTTGCCACTTGAATAAGCATTTAACATGCACGTGGGCTGATAAAATGCCATTCTGCTTTGTGACGTGTCATGATTATTTAATGCGGATCATATCACCTGCAGGTAGGGAGTTTAAGTGATGACTCACTGAAATAACGAAAGCCATGCCTGTATCTATTTACCGAACTGTCCAAATAAAGGAGATCACAATTTTTCTGTTCTGTTAATGATTGTGTAGAGAAGTTGTAGATTTGCTAACTTATACTTCAATACAAACATCTCTTTGCTGCAAACTAGACTCTTTCAAATATGGATAACCAATAACTATCTATTCTTTTCATGATAAATTCAGCTTCCTTTACATGACAAATATTGTGCTTACTGTGCCCACATGTCCATTTCATCCACTGGACCAGGTTCTCAGTCATAAGGGATATAATGGCGCACTTGCTGATACATGGTCATGTGGAGTTATTTTATATGTATTGTTAGCAGGTTATCTTCCATTTGATGAAGTGGACTTGACTACCCTTTATGGAAAGGTTTGGCTCTTAACTAGAAGCCAGTAACTCTTTTTGAGATTAGGTACTAAAAAAATGAATTATATACATTCTTTTGTTAGTGCTACGGATCCAACATTGGTTTGACACTCACTACTTAGAAATAGAGAAGAGGGAGGTATTAGCACAACTACAGCTTGACATACATGAACTCATTTCTTACTTTGCTTTGTAACTTGTGTCTTGTTTAAATTCAAAGGAAATAAGCATTGGCCCTTTAGAAGAGGGGTTTGTATAAGAGTGCTTCTTATTGCCTTTTGCGTCTGAGCTGTATATGGTTATTTGTTGCTTTCACCCTTTGTATTCAATTCATATATATTTACTGGTGGTTTTAACAAGAAATTTTATCTTAGATAATTGATTGTTCTTGTGGAATGGAATTTCTATACCTTGCTGCCTTCTTTTCTTAATGCAGATCGAGAGTGCAGAATATTCATTCCCAGCCTGGTTTTCAGGTGGTGCAAAATCACTGATTCGTAGAATTCTTGACCCAAATCCAGAGACAGTAAGTTAAGCTCGACAATATTTAGATGGAAGAAACTTGCTATGAGCTGTACCTTATCATAATATAATGCATATTATTATGCTGTTAACTTTCTACAGATACTAAGAACTTCTTTGTTAAGGCTATAATTTTGACATGTTAGCACAATGCCATAAGGCCTGCTCAACAAATACAAGCATAACTATTGTTTGCTATGTCGTATCTTGCCAATTTTATTCAAGCTGGAAAGTTGTAGGAGTTTTCATCATTAATGATATGAATTTATGTACTTGGTAAAAGGCTAATATCCCAAACAGGAATACTAACTGAATTCTTGGATTTTTAGTAATGTTCTTGATCTGAGCGGCATATACCATTGAATGGGTGGAATTACAAGCTTGTTACTTGCTGGTTTTTTATCTTTGTAAATGGAATTGGATGAACCGTCTTATGGAAGTCTTGTTCTTAAATTTTTTACGATAGTCCATGACATGAAGACCGATGTATTGTGATTATAAGTATGTAACCATGCGTGGAATGTATACCCTATTATAGCAGAAATAGGACTTATATGGGCACTACAGCATATATTACTCAGCGAATTACATTGCTTCAGAAGGCTTTGTGCCACCATGCATGATAAGTAGGCGTACCAGCTCCATTCGGAAGCAAATGACCTAGTTCATCAGGTCATCTTGACTTTGTTAATTCATATTGCTTGGTTTGATTCCACTATGTTATTGTTTTTTTCTTGGATTCATTTACAATAACTGATGAGCACAGGCGAGCGTAAGGCTTGCCACTGACACCCTTCCCCAGACCCCGCACAGAGCGGGAGCTCTCTGCACTGGGTACGCCCTTTTTTTTATTTACAATAACTGATGGGGGAGGCACTTAAAAAGACAAATATAAGTTAAATGGACATGAACAATCTTCCATATAATGTACAACTATACAAGGACATGAAATGTTTGATCGTTGCTACAATATGTGGTGTTTTGTTGATCAAATATGTTTTCTGACATGGAACAGCGAATCAGGATAGAAGAGATCAGAAACGATGAATGGTTTCAGAAGAATTATGAACCTATCAAAGAAATAGAAAACGAGGAAGTCAATCTCGATGATGTCAATGCAGCTTTTGATGATCCTGAGGTATAGACCTTCTCCTCGAATTCATTTGGCAGGGAAATGTTGCATTTAGACATAGTATGCAATGCACTTAAATCTTCATCACTTGGTTCTAGTAAAACCCTACTCATAAGAAAAAGCTGTGTGATTGTGGGTACTCAAAAAATATGTCCTTGTGCACCAGTGCTTTCTTGAGTTTTGTGTACCTATGTACTTTACTAGTCATAGAGAATTGTTAAACAAAACTGTATCTATCAGACAGCTTTTTTTGTATTCATTCACAATTATTGAGTTAAAAGACCAAAATACATTAGCCACATGCTGCCCCCCAGGTCATCTTACCTGTCACAACATATTGTTAAAGGAGATGGTAGATAACCTTGAAAGACAATTTGTGCTTATTTTTAGCAATCCTACCCGTCCAATAATAACACTTTACTCCATCTTTGCTTGGCAAAGAAATAAGTTCATTCAGTAGTTGGTACACTCTAATATCAAGAAGTGTTATAGAACCTCTTTTCATATGTATATTCTTATGAGAACTGTAGCGGTTTGTATGATGTTATGCTTGGAGTTAGAAAAAAAGAATAGCTGGCATTTTATGGCAAATTGTTTTAGTTGAAATCCTGGAGAATTTTTTATGCAAAGTCCATCTATCATTAATCTAATATTCTCTAAATAGCCTTCTTTCTATTCTTTCTATATTTCTGTATCTCATTAGCAAATATGTGTGATAGTTCTACCATCTGTAACGTCAGCTCCCTCCCTTCCCACTCATTTCTAAATTCTAAGTTTAAGTTGCCTTATTCTGGGGACACAGTCATAATTTTGAGTTCATGAGCTAAGTAATTCGAGAAAGTAATGCATAAATGGCATCTTCATATGTTTACCAAGGGGCAATTGTAGTTTAGAATAGCATCTCAAAACAAAGCTCAGTAAGGCCTCAACTCCCTTGTCATCCTTGGTGCTTGGACCTTGTGGATTCATCATAATAAGTGTGTGTTTGATGGAGTTCCTCCAGACTTGGCTAGAGCCTTACTGCTCACTAGGGAGGAGTTATTTTTTGGGGGTTTGGCAGTGGCTAGAGGTATCTCCTACCTCCTCGCCTTTGTGCCGGTGTAGTGTGTTTGCTTTGGTTGGGTCGTTTAATACATTGTCACAGGTGAGTCAGATTGTTAGTAGCATGGTTTTTGTGGTGTTGGTGTGTGTGTTTGTAAGGGCTCTTCCCCTTTTTTTCTTCTTCTTCTTAATATAATGATACATAGCTCTCCTGCGTGTTTGAGAAAAAAAAAACATTTCCATACATATGTACACCCAGCCACTTCAAGAAACAAAAAGATCCTATGTAGGGAAAAAAAGTCCTACTCTATCTGAGCATGTATTGTTGAAAGCAATAGGAATTGCGTGGAAATATTGGATTGGATTGATTGGAGAGACCTATGTACATATATATTGGGGAGAGGAAATCTCGTGGCTTATAGAAACAGAACCAACTGAGATCTCCTCATATCTCTCTAACCAAATACAGGGGCTGGCCGGCTATACCGGCTATAGAAACAGAACCAAATACACGCACAACACATATACATTCTAACATGCCCCCGCAGTCGCAGCGTCGATGAGTCGGACGTTGAGACTGGACCAAAACACCGTGAAGACAGAAGTTGGCAGCCCTTTGGTGAAAATGTCGGCGAACGGAGACGTCGTTGGAACGTGAAGGACGCGGACAGCTCCAAGGGCCACTCGTTCTCGAACGAAGTGAAGATCAATCTCAATGTGCTTGGTACGCTGATGCTGAACGGGGTTGGAAGACATGTACATGGTGTTGATGTTGTCACAATAGACTAGGGTCGCCTGGCGCAGAGGTGTGTGCAACTCAGCGAGCAGCTGGTTCAACCAGAAGCCTCAACGACGGCATTGGCAACAGCACGATACTCAGCTTCAGCACTGGAGCAGGAGACAATGTTCTGGCGCTTGGAGGACCAGGAGACCAAGTTGTCGCCAAGGAACACAACATAGCCCGATGTAGACTTACGAGTGTCGGGACAATCAGCTCAATTGGCATCTGAGTAGACCACAAGTTTAGACTGACTAGAAGCATGCAGATGAAGACCCAAGTCCAAGGTGCCACGGACGTAGCGCAGGATGCGCTTCAATGCTGCTAGATGAGGCTCGCGCGGGTCATGCATATGGAGACACACCTGCTGAACAGCGTATGCAATATCGGGCCGTGTGAAGGTGAGATACTGCAAGGCTCCAGCGAGACTTCGGAAATCCGTAGGATCTGAAATTGGTGCACCATCAGCAGATAACTTCGGGTTGAGATCAACCGGAGTGGAGCACGGCTTGCAGTCAGCCATGCCAGCGCGATCCAGGATATCCAACATGTACTGGTGCTGTGACAGGAACAATCCGGAGGCAGTGCGTTGAACACGCATACCCAGAAAATGATGAAGCTCGCCCAAGTCCTTCATAGAAAATTCTTGCTGAAGGGCTATAATGATGTGACGAAGCAGATCCGTAGAGGAGGCAATCAGCACAATATCATCCACATACAGCAAGAGATAAGCAGTGTCACTGCCACGATGAAATACGAACAACGAGGTTCTGACTTGGCCTCCACAAAACCCAGGCGAAGAAGAAAGCTGGTGAAGCGACTGTACCATGCACGAGGCTCCTGTTTCAGCCCATAGAGAGACCGATTCAGGCGACACACGAAGTCCGGATGAGAAGAGTCTTCAAAGCCTGAGGGCTGAGCGTAGTAGACCGTCTCTGAGAGATTCCCGTGAAGAACAACGTTCTTCACATCAAGCTGATGCATTGGCCAGTGGCGAGAGACAGCGAGAGAGAGAATCGTCCGGACAGTAGCGGGTTTCACAACGAGGCTGAAGGTCTCATCATAGTCAATGCCTGGGCACTGAATGAAGCCCTGAAGAACCCAACGGGCTTTGTAGCGCTCGAGGGAGCTATCTGCCTTGAACTTGTGTTTGAACACCCACTTGCTAGTCACCACATTGGATCGAGACGGCCGCGGAATGAGATCCCAAGTGTGGTTGGCAAGAAGTGCAGAGCTGCATGCCAATTGGGGTTGGTGAGAGCGGCGCGGTAAGTCCGTGGGATGGGCGACAGTGGTGCCGCTTGAAGGACCAGCTGATCCACTGGTTGGCGAAAGCCAGCCTTCCCGCGCGTCCACATGGCGTGTTGATTGGCCACGGGGACGACAGGAACCGCCCCAGCAGGGAGGCGCATAGGAGAAGCCGGATCAGCGGTGATTGGTGCAGCGGCTGGAGAAGCAGCACCGGTGGTGACAGGAGCAGTGCAGGGTGTTGGCGACTGTACACTAGGCGAACACGAGGCGGCGGTGCCATGGCTGCCCTGGCTGTAGTCGAAGTACGAGGTGGATGCCGGCTGTACGCCAGGCCGCCCCAATGCTGAAAGCCAGGCGGAGGCGCGACGGTCGGCGGCGCAGGCGATCGACCGAACGAGGGCGAGCGGGCAGCAGCCAAGGCAGGTGATGCCGGGCTCTGTGGTGGTCTGCCGGCTGTTGGGCTGCCACTGCCGGCTGCTGGCAGCCACCGCCGGCTACTGGGCCTGGTAAGTCCCCTGGAACGTCGAGAACAGCCGCACGTGGCTGTGCGGTAACTCCAGGAGATCCTGCAGGGGAAAAAAAATGTGACGGCGTTGGGGGAGCCATCACCGGGTCAGTAGAGAGTAGAAACTTGAAGTCTTGTGGTGCAGGACGAGAGGAATCATCAGAGAAGGGGAAAGACACCTCATCAAAGACAACATGCTGAGATATGATCCGGTTGGAGGACCGTTCAAGGCAGCAGTAGCCTTTGTGGTGAGGAGAATAACCGAGGAAGACACACAAGGAGGAGCGAGGAGCGAGGAGCGAGGTTGTGGGGAGTGGGGGCGGAGAGGTTGGGGTAGCACCGACATCCGAAGACACGGAGATGGTCATATGAGGGTGGAGATCCGTAAAGGACCGAGTGAGGGGTGGAGAATCCGAGTGTCTTGGTGGGAAGAATATTGAGGAGTGAAAGGTCCTAATGGCTAGAGGAGGGTGAATAGCCTATTAAAAATTTCTACAACAACACTTAGCAATTATGTTAGACAATTAAACGGCGAAGCGAGTATTGCGCTAGCCTACTAAAAGAGCAAGCAAGCCACCTATCACAATTCTAGTGACTATGATCACTAAGCACATAATTTGCTAAGTCACTACACTAAGTTAGTGAGCTCTCAAAGGCTAACTAAAGAGCTTCACTAACCACCAGACCTGACACAAGCTAGCTCTTAAAACTAATTACACTAAAGAGCTTAACTACACTAAGAATGTAATACAAGAGAGGGGATGTGATGATTATACCGCCGTGTCGAGGAATTGAGCCAATCACAAGATGATCACAATCAATCACAATAAATACCAAGAAATCCTCGGACAATGATGACGCAAGATTTTTTACCGAGGTTCACTTGCTTGCCGGCAAGCTAGTCCTCGTTGTGGCGATTCACTCACTTGGAGGTTCACGCGCTAATTGGCATCACACGGCAAACCCGCAACCGGGTGCCGCACAACCAACATAAGATGAGGATCACACAAGCCACAAGCAATTCACTAGAGTTGCCTTTGGCGCTCCGCCGGGGAAGGCACAAGAACCCCTTACAATCACAATGACCGGAGCCGGAGACAATCACCTTTCTCCACTCGACGATCCACCAATCACCGGACCGTCTAGGTGTCGGCAAACACCAAGAGTAACAAGATCTCCACCAGCTCAAATCGCCCAACTAGTGCCACAAGATGCTAGAACACTAAGCAATGCACTAGATGCCCTCCAATCTCACTCAAGATGATGAAATCAAGCGTGCAAGTGAGTGGAGTGGTGTGCTCAGCTCTCAAAGGGTGTATGCAGCTGTTAGAAGTGCAAAGAGCGTGGCCAAGGCCGGCCACACCCTCTATTTATAAGCCCACAAGCAAATAGAGCCGTTACGTTTTGGAGCCAGCCTTTGCGAGGGCACCGGACACGGCGGTGCTGGCACCACCATAGGGGTGGAGGTGCCCCTCCAACGGTCGAAACCAACGGCTAGTTTGACTAGTCATGGTCACCGGACAGGGTGGTTGTGGCACCGCCCCTAGGGTGGTGGTGACCACTCGGCCAACTGCCCAGAAAACCCACTCTCTGGAAATTTATGGCGGCAGCACCACCCTCATCGTGGCGGTGATCGGGCGGTGCACCGCCCTCAGGGCGGCGATGCACACCGGACGCACCGGTTTCCGCTCTCTCCTCTGCTGCTCTCGGCCACGTCTAGGTGGGCACTGCCCTAGGGGTGGCGGTGCCACCGGACAGGGTGGCGGTGCCCCACCAAAGCACCCCGCTCTCGGCCTCTTCTGCCGGTCACCGCCGCCCTGCACCGTCACAAGGGTGGCGGTGCCCTCGGGGCAGCAACACAAGCCCGACTACGCCTCCTTTTCTTCACCTTTCTCACCACCTTTGCAAATATGCTAACACTCCAAGTGTTTCATCATCACGTGCAAGTATGTTAGCATTTCCACAATCATTTTTCAAAAGTTAATCACTTTCTCACTGAATGTGCACTAGGCCTAAAATGCAATTCAAGTATTTCAACACCTAGTGGCACTAGATGATCAAGTTGTCCGATAAGAGCCCCTCTCTTAATAGTACGACTATCTATCCTAAATGTGATCACACTCTCTATAGTGTCTCGATCAACGAAAACAAAATAGCCCTAGGGATATCACCTTTGCCTTGACCTTTTTGTTTCTCTTTCTTTTCAAGTCCCGGAGCTTGATCATCATCACATGTCCACACCATCACCATGGACTTCATTTCATGTGGCTATCTCCATCCATGAGTGCCACCTAACTCCTTCACTTGGATTGGACCATCCTATTTGGTCACACACTTATATGCAAGGATTAGTCCAACTAGGTTTCATCAATTATCCAAAGCCAAACTAGGGTTTCAAGGAGGAGCGTAGCGGTGGAGAGCGCCTCAACCCAATAGGCAGGAGGGACACTAGCCTGAAACAGTAGAGAGCGAACGACATTATTGATGGTACGAATGATGCATTCGACTTTACCGTTTTGAGGCGAGGTGTATGGACAAGACATACGGAGCTGGACACCATGGGAAAGAAAGAAAGAGCGGGCGCTGTGGTTGTCGAACTCGCGACCATTATCGCACTGGATACCCTGAATGGCGACACGGAAGTGTGTGGCGACATAGGCAAAGAAATTAGACAGGGTAGAGAAAGTATCAGACTTCAACCGCAATGGAAAAGTCCAGAGGTAATGCGAAAAATCATCGAGTATGACAAGATAATACTTGTAGCCAGATACGCTAGGAATAGGTGACGTCCACAAATCACAAATTAATTGAAAAATATGAGTAGTGCGGGACGAAGACGCATGAAAAGGTAAACGCGTATGGTGACCCAACTGACAAGCATGACACATAGTTTGACTAGCACTCTTATTACAGGGAATAGCAGATGTCTGTGCTAGTTTAGACAAAATTTCATGACCAGGATGACCGAGACGCTGGTGCCAAAGCGAAGGACTGGTGGCGGCAAGGAGAGTAGATGGAGACTTCGGATATCGCAGCGGATAAAGAGGACCGGAGCTGTCACACCTGACGATCTCTCTCCGAGAACGAAGATCCTTCACAGAACAGCCAAGAGGGTCAAACTCCACAGAACAGTTGTTGTCAGAAGTAAACTGGCGTACCGAAATAAGATTCTTAATAAGACCAGGTGAAACAAGGACATTATTAAGATGAAGATGATATGGAAAAGTGGTAGCGCCAGTGGAGGTAACGGGGAGAAGGTTCCCATTACCGACAACAATATTGGAAGGAAAAGAGGAAGGTGGAGGTGAAGGAGTGGTGAGTATACCAGTGTCGGAGGTCATGTGGTTCGTCGCCCCAGAGTCGAAGTACCAATTACTCTGTGGAGGTTGCTGGAGCGACATGGTCTGAAAGTTGGAGGCGAGGCTCGACGCGTCCCAGGCGGTGCAACAGCAGGGCTGTACAGGCCGGGTGGGGGAAGAGCCCACTGCGGGTTCCCGGGGTGCACAGCCCAGCCCTGCTGAGCGCCGGTCAGAAGGGCATGAGGGAGCTGCTGCGGCTGCTGTTGGGCCCCAGCGAGGAGCGCCTGAGGATGTGGCAGCGACGAGGGGCGCGGGCCGAACCACATGTTGATGGACCCGGTCCACGGCTGATGTAGATTGGGCCCGGGCTGCCCTCCTGGCGCGCTGCTGGGGACGCCACTGCTGCTGGCCGGTGTTCCACGGCCGCCACCGCCGCGCTTGCCGCCGCCCCCGGAATTGGAGGAGGGCTGCTGCCGCTGCGGGTTTGGCGGCTGCTGCTGGGAAGGGGCGGGTGGAGCAGCTGGTGACAAAGGGGCTGAAGCTGGTGGCCAAGCCCCGTCGGAGTTGTCTGCCCCGGCGTGGAGAGCGGTGGCCGGAGCAGACGCTGCCATGTTGATTTCCTCAAGGTGCAGATCGTTTTGAGCCTGCAAAAAGGAGGGAACGGGACGCCTGCGGCGAAGATGGAGCCCAATGGCTTCGAAGCGGCCGTTAAGACCGCGCAGATCGTTGACGGGCTCGCCAAGGTCGCGGAGGGCGTCCGCCATGCCTTTGAGCTTGCGGCAGTACTTGGTTATGTCGAGGTCGCCTTGGTTGAAGGTGCGGAAGGCGGCGTCGAGGTGGAGGGCCCGAGTTTCGCGGTTGCCGTGGAACTGTGACTCGATGCCCAGCCAGGTGGTGCGGGCAGTGATGCCGTTCTCGGCGAGGGCGTCGGTGATGGTGCAGGTGATCCAAGTCCGCACGACGCAGTCCATGCGGACCCAATCGGGGGAGGTGGGGATGGCGACGTGGGGAGAGGACATGGCTCTCCAGAGAGTAGCGGCCGACAGCGAGTAGGAACGCCTCGCGCCAGCGAGCGTAGAAGGTCGAGGAGGAGCGGCACGAGGTTGCGGATGTTCTGCACAGCCACCGCCTGGGCGTGCAGATTGAGGAGCGCGGTAGCCTCGTGTTGGAGCAGAGCGGCGCGAAGGTGGGGGGCGCTGCCATCTGCGGAGGCATAGCCCTCATCTTCACTGGAAGCAGCGTCATCTTCCGGAGGCGGAGCAGCCGCGGCACGCTCGAGAGCGGCGCAGTCGAGGACAGCACGGAGGCGCGCGTCAGCAGTGTCGCGCTCCTGCTGGGCGAGGGCGGCCTTGCGCTCTGCTTCATCCGCGCCAGCGGCGGTGGCATCGCGGTCTGCCTGGGCCGCGCGGTCGCGCTCTTCCTTGGCGAGGCGAGCGGTCTTAGCCAGGGCAGCGGCGGCAGCGGCATCAGTGGGGTCAACAACGGCAACGCCGGCCGCGCTAGCAGCAGCGGCGGAGGCAGGGGCTGCTGTGGCTGGTGGGTCGCCGGCCATGGCAGCGGAGGGCGCGCACGAGAGAGGTGGCGACGACGGAAGCGGAGAACGGAAAAAAATTAGGCTCGTGATACCATGAAAGCAATAGGGATTGCGTGGAAATATTGGATTGGATTGATTGGAGAGACCTATGTACATATATATAGGGGAGAGGAGATCTTGTGGCTTATAGAAACGGAACCAACCGAGATCTCCTCATATCTCTCTAACCAAATACAGGGGCCGGCCGGCTATACCAGGCTCGGGCCTACCATATACACACGCATATACATTCTAACAATTGTGTTTGCCATCACCTTGCACATTGTTAATTATATAAATTTCTTTCCGGACATTGTATTTTTGCCCAATCCCTTGTTTGCCTTTGTCACTGACACAGGTGGGCAAAATGTGTCATTGGGACATTGATATCAAGGGATTGCAAAACTTCGTAGTGGCAAATATTTGATTGTAATGTTCCCTGTCTGCTTTGCCACTGTCTTCCTGACCTACATTAGGTACCTTTCATAACTAGTGATGCCATTTTTCCCTTTGTTTTGTATTGAAGAAATTACTAATTGAAATAGAAAGGTGGGGTGAGGGTGATAACTGACATTACTGATGAATTGTGTTCCATTGTTCTACTTTCTAAACCTATAATAAGGCAGTCTTTTGTGGTTAACTCTGGTGTACTTTATGCTTATTAGTATAAATTTATTGTTTCTTTTTTGCCAATTTGTTTTATGTGATTTCAGGACGATACTGAGGATGCTTTCGAAGATGAAGCAGGTCCTCTGACACTTAATGCATTCGACCTAATCATTCTTTCGCAAGGATTGAATCTTGCAGCGCTCTTTGATCGCAGACAGGTAGCATGCTAGCAGTTTTATGCTGATTAATGTTTTGAGAGATAGTTTTAGTAATAAAATAGTTGTAATATAAAGTCTCTGATATGTTTTGTTTTCTTACCATATGCATTTGTGCTGTGTAAACATGGAAATCTGGTAGCTTCTTGTTAGTAAAGTGAAAAGTGAAGACCTGATGTAAGTCGAGTTATATCTTCTGCACTCTGGTGTTATAGAGAGAGCACAAATTATAGCTTATTTCAAATTAATGTTTAATTGTTGGTGAAAAGGTTGAACAATGATAGCTCATATTACTAATAGCAAGAAATGTTTTTTTTCGCGAACAAGCCCATCGTGGCCTGTTTTTCATTAAGAGGGGAAGCAAGAAATATGTCTTCACTAGTTCACTGTCTCATCATGTTACCTGCCGTCCTGCCCAAATCTTTAAAAAGATATTGATTGTCAAAGATTGAAAAGTTTGATTGCATGTGTGTCCAAAAGGATAACTATTTCTGCCTGGGCTAGCAGTTGCTATTAAGATAGTCTTGCTCCTGAGGTACACCACTCTGACAGCATTTGTGTAACTCAGAGCGTTCAAGAACTGGGTACTCAATTTTATGAGCATTTTAAGCTGGTGATTCTATATATGCCATATGGTTATTGCTGCAAACATTTTATAATATTATTTTTGTTTTTTTCCTTGTCAGACTTAATAACTGCTTGCCCTACAGGACTATGACAAGCTTCGAAATAGATTCTTATCACGCAATCCAGCAAAAGTTATCTTGTCAAGCATGGAGGTTGTTGCACAATCAATGGGGTTTAAGACACACATTCGCAATTATAAGGTAAGGTTTGCTTTCCCTTGGCATGCAAATCTTCTGGCATTAGATCTTGACAGGCAAGGCTATTGTCCATTATTTGGTCAGTTTTATCTATGTTTTGATTTTTGCATATATTACAGGATGTTAGACTAAGTTTGTGCACACTCCATTTGTTTCCATGCAACACAATTTTATCATGAGAATTTTCTTTTGAGATTATCATGTTACAAGTTATTTTTGGGAGCTAGTTGGCGCTACTGTGGGATTTTGTTTCCTTTTTCACTAATTGTTTTGCTATAATATTCAGATGAGGGTGGAAGGTCTAAATGCCGACAAGACTAGTCATCTCTCAGTTATGGTTGAAGTGAGTCTCGACCCTCTCTTTGTGCTCAAGTATATTTTTTGTTTGAACTCTATGTTGTATACCTTACGCCCGTTTTTCTCATTTTCTATGGTTTTAGGTTTTCGAAGTTGCTCCATCAATCTTCATGGTAGAACTACAAAGAGCAGCAGGAGATACTTCAGAGTATAACACGGTCAGTGCATTTCTATTGCACTTCTCACCCATTTCATATGATTGCGACTGATTATATTAACTTGTAATAAAATTGTAAAAGTACAACTTGACCTATTTAATATTACTTTTGATCCGGGGACACTCTCATCTAACTCTGCACCTTTTCTCATATCACAGTTTGTAAATAACTACTGCAGCAAATTAGATGATATCATCTGGAAATTTCCAACTGAGAAGGGAAAATCAAGGATGCCCCGGTTATCAAAGTGCTAATTTCTCCTCAGCATCCATCATTTGTCATTTTCCTCCTGTAACATTGATTTCTAATATATCGTGATTTCTCCAATTGTTTCAGGTCACATGTATAATATAGTGCGGTGTATATTATCAATTGTTGTGGACTTGATGAGTGGATATATATGCGGAGTGTATCGCAATTGGATTCTAATATTGTAGCTAGAGCTCTTCGAGTAGTATATGTTTGTATATTGTGAGTCCCCATGTATAAAGAGGCCCTTCTAAATAGAGGTTTCGGTACCTCGATTCCCTGTGCAAAATTTTCATCGATGTAGATATACTATCAGTATATTTAGTCGAGAACATCAGTTTCTTAGACACTGCACCGATGTATCATGTGTTTGTGCAGCTGTATCAAATGTTGTTTCCTAGTTCATGTGCATAGAACGCAATGTTGATCCTAAAGTAGCATGAACCTGTTGCTCGATCCTGCTGTGTTTATACACGTTGGAATCAAAGTGTAGCATCGCTGTTCATGTGAGTTAAACCCGTATTCCTAGTCGATTCTCTGGCATACCAAAATTCGGAGACAGGCCAATCAAACTCATTCAAAAGCACAGCCGAAAATGATTCATCAATATATTGAAACATTGCAATTTACATCACCACGGTGCTCACAAACATTACAGGAGCTTAACTAAGCACTGTTCACAACAACAGACTAATTTTACATTATACAACGACCAAAGGATCAGAAATCTAAGTCACGCGCACAGCACGCAACCTCTGTCTAGTGTCTACGCAGTCTCTTGGGCAACGTCGATCCAAGCTTCTCTTTCTTTGACTGTCGACCTTGGGGCCTTGTTGGGGTTGCATGTGAGCAAGCCACTGAGGACCTCGAATCCTTCTGATCTCGCAGGAGGTTGCACCGCTGCATGTCCAGTTCCGACATCACCTGGGTGGCGAATGATGTGGACGCATTACGAGCACATAGAAGATCGCGCAGAGTTAGTCCATCGTCGTGGGAACCGAGGCCTCTCGTTATCGATGAGCTCCACCACGACGCTGACGCAGCCAAGGGACCAGGCATCGGCCTGCGCATCGTAGTCGGGCTTCTCCAGCAAGTCAGAGGATGGAACAACGATCGCTTCTTAGTAGCAAATCTCTATCCCTATCTCTTGCCAAAGGTCCTCCCGAACTGGTTACAGGGTTCTGGCGACAACCTCAGGTCCTGAGTTCGATCCCTCTTGGGGCGAATTTTAGACTTGAGGATAATAAAATACTCTCGTATGTCCTACGCCAAAGTGCAGGTATGTGGTTGTCTTGTTTCACGGGGATGCAGTGCCGCTGTATATGGGTGGAGCCAAGGTTCGGGGGTTTTTTACGAGCTGCGTGAGAAGTTCTTCTTCTTAATGAAAAACCGGTGGAGACGTCACTCTCCCCCGGCTCGTGTTTTTTTTTCTATCTCTCTCTCCTCAACTAAAATATATTGATTCATTCCGTCCACCGGCTACGCGAAAACCTCCACGACATCTCGCGTCGCGCGGCTCCTCTGTGCACTCGCCTGCCACAGTTCCCCGGCAATTTTTAGTGCGCCGACATGTGGGCGCTTGGGTTGCTCCGAATCCGCCTGTTCCACAGACCGCACGCGAGAGGCGACCTCGCACACAAGCCTCCTGCGCGGACGCAGATTCAGGCCACGTTCGGTTGAAGGGGAACGACTCCTGGAAATATTCCAGCTCGGATTCGTTGTCTAATTTGAATAAGTTTTGTCAACCAGAATTATTCCTGGCCTGGTTTGAGCTAAACCGAACGACCCCTTAGTATATTTTTTTAGGAACCGGGTTTGTATTCATATATATTTCATAAAGTTTATATTCCAAGACTTGCAAAGACACCCTTGAAGAAAGAAAAAATTACAACATAGTCCTTGCATAGTCATCCTCCAGGTCGTCCTCGTCATCGGCGGTCAGAGCAACTTGGAGCTTGAAGCCGACCTCCATCCCGACGATTGAACACAAGCTTTAATTGGCACCAAAAGCAGTACGTTGAAATCATCGACATACTTTGTGACCACTGAATGCCCAAGCCGAAAAAGATGGCAGCCGGCCATCACATCGCTGGAGTACAAGGAATCTGGCGCCTCAAGAGCTACCAACAATCCCCACATGCCGGATGGCGGCACACCCAGAAGGGGAATGAAACCACCAGAGTAGGTGGTAGGTAAGAACCAACTGGGTTTCACGACGAGTCGTTAGACATACCTCCCAAGATCTTCGCCAGAGGAGTTCGTCGGAGAAGACGAGGGAGAGGCAAAAGGCGAACTTGACCAGATCAAGAGGAGGCACAGAACTCCAGATCCGACGAGCTCGTGCTCTTCACTGGTACGTTCGCCACCAGCGAAGTCGGGGAAGCTGCCGTAGATGTCAGAGCCGTCCTCCGCACGTCCACACCGTTGCCCGCTGGAGACGCCGCCCAGGAAGACGAACCCACGCCACACCACCGGCATGGGGAAACCTAACCCTAACTTATTTAACCTAAACCTAATAAGTATGGGTATATACAAATCCTCCGTCAATTCATCCAGCTCCCCTCCTCCGATGCCGGCGAGAGCGATGGAGGCGAGGGCGACGGCGAATCGACGGGGAACGCGAGATCACCCCTGGTCACCGCTCTCACTGTAGCGCTCTGCAAGGGAGAAGCGAGCGGACGCGGATTCAGTAACGTTGCTCAACTTCGGGTACCGAATTCATTGAGAAATCCAAACAGTCTGGCCCAGGAAGGAAGCCTGTTTGGAGCCCAATTCGAGGGATCCAAAGTCCAGACGGCCCAATTCAGGGGAACCGTACCGTCCCGTCGAATAAAGGAAGCCTGTTTGGAGCAGCCAGAACCCAAAAACCCTCCGCCTCCCCGGAAATGGAGCAGAGCGGCGGTGCGATGGCCGCCAAGCGCGCGAAGCCCTCGGCCGCCGCCGGGGAGGACCGTTTGAGCTCGCTCCCCGACGAGGTGCTGGTCCTCATCCTCCTCCGCCTCCGCAACGCCGCCGCCGCCGGTCGGACCAGCGTCCTGCTCCCGAAGCTCCGCTTCCCCGCTGCGCCGTCGCCCCACACCATCGCCTCCGCGCTCGCCGCCCACGAAGCCGAAGTGGTGCTCCGCCACCTCCTCGTCGAGGTCGAGGACGCCGCCCCCGGATCCGTGGCGGCCTGGCTCCCCGCCGCTGCGCGCCGCCTCTCCGGCACCCTGGTCTTCACGAACCGGGCGCCGGGTGGAAATCGCGTTGGCGGCGCCGAGGAGGAGGAGGCCTCGCAAGGAGGCGCCTTTGAGCTGCCCTACTTCGAGCGTGCCACCTCGGTGTCGCTCGACCTGGGGTTTCTCGGCCTCGCCGTGCCGCCCGCCGGCGTTTTCACCCGGCTCACCGAGCTCTCCCTGCAGCGTGTCCGGTTCCACGGCTCGTACGAGCTCGGCGATGCCATCTCTTCGCCACGGTTCCCGTGCTTGCAGAAACTCAGCGTCAGTCACGCCCGTGTGCTGGAAAATATGGCCATCCACTCGGAATCTCTGCTTAAAGTTGAGCAGCGCTATCTGGATACGTTGAAGGAGCTCACCATTGTGGCACCGGCACTCCGCCGGTTGCAAGTGTGTTGCTGCTTTGCTCACCGCCGGCTGGTTGCCAACATTTCAACCCCTCAGCTGCTGTACCTCTCGTGGATGGAGCCATATGATCCAAGCTCTGTCAATCTTGGCAATTTGGGCCAACTTCAACGTTTGGGCACAGATTTTTATTTTGTATATGGGAAGCAGGACTCCAGAACCAATCGTTCCTTTCTATTGCTCTTGGAACGGTTTCCAGGCATCCGCAGCCTTCAAACAAGACTTGTCTATCGCCCAGTGAGTTCACATGCTTTCTTATTGGATTGGAGTTTAAGTCCTCAAAGTAGCTTGCTAACATGGCTTGTTGTGAATACACAGGACATTGGGAACTCTCAATACTCGATGCAGATGCAACGCCTTACAGTGCTTCCTCGGATTAAGAGCTTGACCCTCATCCTAAGCAACAGAGGACATAACTTTGGAGCCACCTTATTTCATATTCTCAGTCTGTGTATTTGTTTAGGTGTACTGAGGCTGGAGCAATATAAGGTAAACCATTATTTATTCATGTAAAATCTAAATACCCCAAGCAAGTGACAGAAAGCCACATATACATTGCATTTCTGTATTGCCACAACTTGGCCTGATCTTTGAGTAGCCTTATTTTCTGTTTTGGTTTTACACCGCTATATTCTTGTTTATGTATATCCTAATGAAAGTAAATTGTTCTATAAGAATGGGACATTCTTCACATACTATCTGCATGTTGAAAATAAAGGTGGAGTTGATTAAATTGCTGCATAAGAGACTCAGTTTTGACAGTATGGAATGTTGCAGATAGTAAGAATACTTGGGGCGTGTATTAGTCTATTTGGTGCAATTAGTGTAGCCTTGTACGCATGGAGTCTAGTTGACAGGACATGGAAGCTGTGCTCACTATTATGGTTCCATTTATAACCTATGGTCCATTGAATATTTTTTTAATGGGCTATTGATTGCATGGTACATGCGGATTTGTGCAATTTTAAAATTACTTGTGCCCTGTTCGGTTGGCTGGTTCATATCGTTGCTGGTTCGTGAAGAAGTACTGCTGGCTGGTTTGTGTGAGAGAAAAATACTGTTTCGGCTGGAAATTTACGATCGTTTACGACAAGTCACAGCCAAACGAACAGGCTGTTGGTTGATCATTGTCTTTGTGGATAACCATATTGCTGCTACTAATTGGCTTCCAGCAAGTAAGAAAATATATATGTAGGCATTGATAGTTTTTTTTTTTTTTTGCTTTACTCTTTTTTTGTTCCTAATTGCATTTGACAATACCTGACAGTAGAACTGGCTCTTCTTGTTCTAGGCACAATCAAAATCAGCCTGTTCATCAGGCTGTATTTGTGATCAACCAACTGGAAGACTAAGAAGCTCAATCTCAAACGCCTCCGAGAAGTAGTGATCATTGACATGAAAGGATCTGATCATGAACTTACTATTATGAAACGACTATTCTGTTGGGCAGTGAAGCTAAAAAAATTGAGAGTAATTTATCGCTCGGTCACTGTAAGCAAGGCGAAGAAAGTTGCTAAGCCTTGCTATGCCAGAAACACATGTAACTTTAGAAAAATTAAGGCAGTGATGAGTAGCAAGTCGTTTGCTGGAGCCAGAAGACCTTGGCCTGGGATTGCGATTCCAAGCACTATCTATCTAATTTTGCATCTATATTGATCGTATGTGAAAAACTTTTAAGTGCCTTATGTCCTCGCCTTGTGTTGTTAGGCTTCCCTATATTGATTCTGTGGAGAATGAGAAACTCTGTAATGCTTTCGAATTAACTTTGAATTAGCAGTCTCAACAGCAGATAAGAAAGGAATGATACATATAATGGGCTTTCGGTCCAACTATCTTCCTCTAGCTGATAATACAATAATAAACCAAGAATGTTTAGAAATTTGTTGATGTTTGGTTGATCCCTTTTCAGGTCTGAAACTCTGAATTCAGAAAACAAGATTTTGGCTGTAGACCCAAGCGGAACAGAGATAACAACCTGATCTTTCCATGCATGTATTGTACTAGTGTGGTGTAGTTTCTTTTTTAGTGGATAATGTGGTGTACGTTGCTTGTGTTTTTAGCGCCTGCAGAACCAGGGAATGCCACCAGGTGCTCACCGTGTATAAATCATCTGAAGCTGCAAACCACCACTTCTCTGAAACCAATTCAAATGTTCCAGACTAGATTTTCCCGTGCTGCATGTGCATCTTGTCTTACGGAGTTGCAAACTTACAGCAGCTCTGGTTTCTCATGCAAAACTATTCAAAGATGCACATGCTCTAGGCACCTCTAGGCACCAGATTCAGGGCAATGGCCAGTGGACTGGGAAGCCAGTGTACAACTTGGGCAGCACACATGAAAGACATATGGTTCAGGTATAATAACCGTATAATCTGACAGCAAAACAATAAACAATCTCTGAAATCTGAACATTGATGATGTTAACCAAACTTTGACCACTGTTTCTTCTTTTGTACCGGAAGGGACGGTCAGAATCTTGGTGATGCTTGGATACCGGGGGATGCAGAACCTGAGGTCAGGTAGCTCGGGCCAGCAACGCCTTGGCTAGCAGCTGGACCTTAATAGGCTGGATGGCAATGGCAGAGCTTCACTAACGAGTAATCAAGTACCACATACCAAAAAAACCCTGTACTCTGCAGCCGAGCTGCCGGCCTTTCAAGCTGAAGGAGAAGCTTCACCATGCAAAAACCGCTGTTGCGTGATATCCCTAGTAGAGTAAATCATACTACCATAGCTAATGAAGTAAAGCTGATAGTTAATGTGTCATAGCAAAAACTGATGTACTGCAATTACTACTACTCGTGGTTTGCATGCCAGCAAAATCTCAGGCTCAAGCTCAATGATGTCCAATGATCTTTGCCCCTATGGATTCGAGACTCAAGTACCTGTCCCTGCAATCAAATAGATTGTCCAAGGGCCCCATATTCTATGAGCCCAGGTTATATTATTGAAAATTCATTTATCTGACACTTCTAGTTTGATCATCTCATTCCCTTTTTCAAACTCCACTTCTTTTCATATAGCATCCCTATTCAAAGAGAGAACAATATTTATTTCAAAACATTTCTAATGGATTCCTTGTTCGGACCGACGAAGTAATGGTGCTTGATTATTACCGACTCGACTCTGTCGGTAAGGATTGCACCAGAGCACCTTCTATTTCTAATAGGAAAAAGTCTACTTGACTCCCCCCACCTTTCATACATGGTCTACTTCACCCCCCAACTATGAAACCGTCTGTTTTACCCTCTGAACTTTCCAAAACCGTCTATTTTACCCCCTGGTCGGTTTTTGACAGCGGGTTGCTACAGTAACAGCGGGTTTGCTACAGTGTCGGTGGGTTTGAATTTCCTTTTTTTTATTTATTTTCGGTGAATTTTTGAAAAATCATAGTAAATCATAGAAAAATCATAAAATGAAAAATCTAATTTTATTGGACTCCACATGAGTAGATCTACACAGTGAATATATAATACAGTATGCTTTAGTACAAATTTTTTACTGTAGCCTTAGATTAATTGGAAAATCTAATTTTGTCTGTAATTAATTGGAATAATTAATAGCTGCAGCTTCTATGGTCCAATTGTGGTGAAATTTTTATGGTACGCTAATTATTGTATGCTTAAACTATAGTAAAAGTTTCGTACTCATTGGACTATGTATAACTTAGTTATAGATAAATTCTAATTAATTACAGAAAAAATTGGATTTTCCAATTAATCTAAAGCTACAAAAAAAATTGTACTAAAGCATACCGTATTATATATTTACTGTGTAGATCTACTCATGTGGAGTCCAATAAAATTAGATTTTTCTATGATTTACTATGATTTTTCAAAAATTCACCGAAAATAAATAAATAAAAAGAAATTCAAACCCACTGGTACTGTAGCAACCCGATGTTACTGTAGCAAATCCGCTGTTATTGTAGCAAAACTGCTGTCAAAAACCGCCCGAGGGGGTAAAATAGACGGTTTTGGAAAGTTCAGGGGTACAACAGACAGTTTCATAGTTGGAGGGTGAAGTAGACCATGTATGAAAGATGGGGGGTTAAGTAGACTTTTTCCATTTCTAATAGACCATGAACTACAGATGGAGAATAATCATGCTCGTTCCAAGAAGTGCCGTTTGGCCAAAGAAAAAACCGTTTTCTCACACGATTGCCTCTCTCTATTGCCCACTCATGAGGAGAACTTCCCAACACCGAGAAAACCAGCGGACTAACATTCTAGGTGGCCACAAAAATTCATTTTTCTCCTAATTCAGCAATTTGTAGCATCTAAGTGAGATTATATTTAAATTAAATGTCAGAATTCCAAATGAGTTCAAAGGTTCTCGAATGTGCTCCGGAGCTCTAAGTTAGAAAATAATTTCAGCAGGATTTATTTGTAAAAGAGATATTGCCCGTACCCACATACCCAGGGTCAAAACTGAAAAAAAACACTTGCCCACTTTGACCGTCAGGGTTATTTGGCGGCCGATTCACATGACAGCCCACAATTCCCTATTCGGACGCCAATTCGGCAATTCCCAAATTCGCACCCAGCCGCCGTGCCGCCGGTCCATCTGCAGCCGTGCCGGGGGGGCCGCGGTCTTGGTGAGCCGTGAGCGCGTAGGACACGGACTCGACCGCGCACGCCGCCGCCACCCATCAGTGTGCGATATTGAATGACATGGCGAGGACCAGCGCGGCCCAAACGGAGGCGTCCTGAGGAAGATCGGGCGCGCCATCCGCCATGACGGTCTGCACGGACGACGCCGCGGAGATGGCGAGCGCGAGGACGACGACGAACGGGAGCAGAGGGAGTCTTCGCGAGCGCAGCAGCTGCTTGGGCTCGTCCTCGGCCCGATGGCTCGCCAGGGTCTTGTGAATGGAGAGGATCGTCAAGTGGAAGAGCGCGACGACGGCCGGGTCGATTTGGTACTCGGCAGCCGCGGCGGCGAGCGATTTGGCGTGCAGCCCCGCTCCCATGACGAGGCAGAGCCCGATGAAAGGGGCAGGTAGAGATTTCGATGCAGAGACAGCAGGTGCTGCTCCGGCTCTCGCGGTTGGGCGGAGCAGCAGCCTTGTTCCCCCGGCAGCCCGCCCGCGTGCGACCAGAAAGTTGAGCGAGAAGATGGCCAGGTTGAAGAACACCGTGACGGAGAAGACAACGCAGACGACGACGACGGCCGGACAGAGATGTTCAGCGGCGGCGGCAGCGAGCTGCTCCGCGTGCAGCAGCATGCCGGAGGATGAGGCAGCGGCGGGCGGGCTCCCAATCCTACCCAGGATGGTTGATTAAATCTCCTGTTAAATCTCGTCCTTAGCTCAGGGGATTTACTCGAGCAGGGTTTATTAATGAGGTGGTTCGCCTACTGTTATTAGTAGGAAAAAAGGGGCAAATCGTAGTAATTTTGACCTTATCATCGTGAAACTGAAGTGTGCAGTTTGTTTTGACAGCTTTGCATAACGTGGAAATTAATGAAAGAAATCAAGGAATGCTTAGTATCTTTCTGATTATGCAACATTAGATGATTTTATTGTTGCCTTGAAGTGTATCATGTTGAGATATTGATGATATCTTGTACGTGTATGGTCGTAAGTTTAATTTGTACCGGACCAATTGTTTACATGTGCTCACATGGCACATATGAGGCTTATCATTTCCATTCTTCAGCATGGAGGCAGGCAGCCGCTGCAGTAGCTGCAGCATGAACCCGTCTGTGGCCAAGTGCAGTGTAAGCTACATTCTACCTGCTATGTTTGTTAAAATGACTGCCCATAACTATGCTAAATTAGCCCTCTTAATTTAGAAGACATGTTTTCTGCCAGTTCACTCCTTCCATTACTACCATCTCCACCGCATGGTTCAGTGCCATACTGTCAAGATGGCATATTCAGATTCCGTGGAATGCCCTAGCGAATCTGTAGGTGCTTGTACTGTGACTCTATCCTTTAAAACTTTATTTCAAGATATCAGCTATTCTAATTTTTAGTACCAGGTCGAATCAATATGAGAACTGTATGCGGAAAAGGTACGCATACACAAAGAAAAGGTATGCAGAAAAGGTACTCTGTATTTTATTTGCGCCATTTGAAGAAAACAATCATTGCTATTGGTATTTCGTATATGAGTTCCCAAATATTTTTGGCTGTTGCTAAGTATGAGGATCATCTTTACTAACACACTAATTTTTTAACTGTAACTCTTGCTTCATAAGTACGTTTCTTCATTTACTTTATGTAGAGATAGTGTTAGCATTTACTTTATGTAGAAATAGTATTGGCAATCTGCATTTTTTCCAACACAATACCTGAAAGATCAGCAAGAGCAGTTCCTCTTTGATGAAGTGTTGACATGAACACCTGCCCCCTGGAGGGTGCTGGAAACATGCATGATATTGTCCTTGATGTCTCCTTCATGCTTCTGGTGACATAACAGAGTGAGCTTTTAGCCATCTTCGTTTATCCATAAAGGCATGGTTATGAAAATTTAGGAGCACCATCCCCAACTTTTTGTGTTATATGGCCCCGTTCGCGTGCCCTTAAACCTGGCTTGATCCGCTTTTTTTTTATCCGGAACAGTGTTTTTCTCTCATAAATTCCTCCAGCATTCCTCCAAACCATCCAGATTCCTCCAAAATTCAGACAAGCGAACAGGCCCTATATCAGTTGAAAAGGAAATTTGGATCACTGATAAATGGATGTAGCTTAGTGTTTTTGACACAGCTAAATAATGATTAATAGAGATCCTTCAGGTTTCATTGGAATGGATGTGATGGTAGGTTTTTTTTTCCTTGCTAAATTGAATGGTTTGGTTGTGCAAAATAAGGATCTGCAGAGATCTATATGTATCTAAATCCCTTTTCATTCAGATTTCGTGGAATGCACTAGCGAATCTGTAGTTGCTTGTATTGTGACTCTATTCCATCCTTTAAAACTTCATGAAAAGATATCAGCTATTCTATTTTTTAGTACCAGGTAGAATGAATATGAGAACTGTATGCAGAAAATGTTTTTTTCCTTGCTAAATTGAATGGTTTGGTTGTGCAAAATAAGGATTTGCAAAGATCTATATATATTTAGTTCAGTTGGAGAGGGTGTATATTAATTTTCTCACTGTCAAATTTAAGCTTCTTAACATACCGAGAGTAATACAAATGTGCTAACCATCAGATTCACTAATATGTATCTAACTCCCTTTTCATTTTTTATTTGTTTCATTAATTTCTCGCTGATTGCAGCCTATGCATGCTTGTCAATCTTGTCAAAATGGCAGATCATGACCAGCTATGCGGACACATTGGCAGTTTCATCCCAGTAGGCAGTGACTGTTGAGATGGTAATTTTTTGCTCAAGCATAGCATTATGATCAACTGTGGCTAGAGTTGGTGACCCGTCATGCCATCTGCCCTCCCCGTGAACCCGAGCACCTTGTCCGGTCCTAGGTGTTCAGAAAGATTGCAATTGTAATCACGAATCACATGTTTTAATCTGCTTCAAGGCATTGCAAGTTATTTCTGGATTTATGCCAGCCTGTAAATTACACAGTGAGGTATGTGGTTATGGCACTCAAATTCCAACTAGATTTGGTTCTTACAAGATTGATTTATTAACTAGCAGTGCTTCTCGGATATTTGGGGTTAAATTCATTTTTGTTTAATTCATGTAAATGAAGACTAACTGATGTGCCGCTAAGATACCAGGCTGCTGGGAAATTTGGGGTTAAATTTATTCTTGTTTAATTCATGTATATGAAGACTAACTGATGTGTTGCTAAGGTACCAAGCTGAGAGAGAGAAGATCAGTAAACCAGCAAACTCCATTAATGAAACATGAGGCAATAACCTTACCTGTCAAGATAAAATGATACTATAAAACCACTTATATTTTAACAGAAAGACAATTTTGGAAGAGAGAAATAGTAGTGCCTTCACCCTTTACGATGGTTGGCACTAGAAGATCATCCAATGAGCCACTACACTGTTTTAGCCACGTTTATAAACTCTGCTTGATATATGTTAGTTGAGAATTGATTTTTTTAATTAATGCCTAATTTGGTAATGTACTTGCTATATAATGGACTTGCATATTGTGCCATGTACCCGTTGTAAATGTTTTTGCTTGCTACCCCGTATGGGTATGTTGAAATAAAATCATGCATGTGGCTATTTCTCATATTGTCGTAATGTTAGAAAGGTAACATTAGAAGTTTCTAAACTCACAAGAACATATGTGATGTTCCTTCTGTAATGCATTTCCCCCCCTTCATTTTAAGTAGGTCCAGATTGCAATCCCGCTGAAAGGATCAAGATGGGGGTATGAATTGGGCTAATCTAAAATTTCTACGACACTCTGTCGCGGTGAATCGTCCACAACCGCTCACACCATGACTTGGTTCATCCACAAGCCCCATCGGATGATCACCAAGCTTCCAATCACCACCGAACCGTCTAGGTGATGACGATCACCAAGAGTAACAAGCATAAACTCTTAGTTGGCCAAGACAAGCTTAATAAGAAAGGTGGATGCACACTTACTACTCCCTATGCACTAATAAGATCCTTAATCTTGGATTATCAAATCTCAGTCACCCCACTAGGCTCTTGCTCTCCCTTGCACTCTAAAGTGTTTCCTCAGCTGAACAAATGAGCAAGATAGGGGAATTGGACGAATAGGAGAAGTATAAATACTCCCACTCAAAAACATAACCGTTGGGGTCAATTCTCCTTTTCTGCGCATGCTCTGGACTGGACCCAGGAAGGATCCGGACCATCTCCTCCTGGTCCAACTCTCACACGCGCTGCAGTACCTGCACTATGTTAGGCAGAGCCGTTGGGGGGGAGTCCGGACCCAGCCATGGTCCGAAGCCATGCTCTGGATCGAGTCCGATGGCAAAAAGCCTCTCTGTACCCTCTCTGTGTGGCTCTAGACCGAGCACAGACTGGGTTCGGACCGGTACTGCACACAGGGTCTGAACGCCGCTGACCGAGTCCTAGGCAGCCCGGACCCTGGCGCCCGGGTCCGGATGGCCTTCTCACCTTGGTCTGGATCTTGTATGCACCTGAGAGGCATCCTATTGTCGCCATGTGTCCTCCGGACCCTGCGCCATGGTCCGGATCTAACTGACACCCATGGTCTGGTTCCAATTAAACCCCCCAAATCACGTCCAATTCAACAACTTCGTGAACCGGGTTTGTTCCATTTGATCTTTAGGCTATTCCTGAGCTACCTAGTGCTAAGTTTGACAAGTGTGCACCACACCTAACATATTAGACTCACCTAGGTCAAGCTACTAGTTCATACCCCCTTTATAGCACGGCCAAAGGAAAAAACAAAGTCCTAAACTACTCTAAGTGTCACCAACGTCAATCGACACTTAGAACTAGTCGGTCCTTAACCTTGTCGTCTATTCTTTAAAAACCAAAACGATTTCCATCGATAGGGGCATGAAAACTATAATTGCCCCAACAATCACCATTACCATGACCTAACTTAAATTGCCTCCACAAAACACACATTAGACACAGTAATTTTGTGTCGTCATTAATCACCGAAACCCAACTAGAGGCCTAGATGCTTTTAATCTCTCATTTTTTGGTGATTGATGATAACATAACCTCGAGTATGTATAAGAGAGAAGAGTGAGGTTTTCAACATGCTTGGTTCATATAAGCAAATGACAATTATATGAAAGGGGTTAGGAAAGCTTATACGAACCAAGCCAACAACTTGTACTCTAGAGATATGAAATAAACACGAGTACAACAAGTAAAGCTCATTTGAATCAGAGTAAAACACGGAAGCAAGACAAATGAGCATATAAACAAGTGTCATGACATATATGTCAATGTAGAGAGCACACATGTCACACAAGTCTCACAATCACACATATATCACAGTGCAAGAAAGTAAACATGATATGCATGAAAGTATCACACACAAAAGAACAAGTCCAACTCACACTCTCCCCCTAAGTCTAACATACTCGCTCTTTCTCCCCCTTTGGCGTTAAGCACCAAAACCTAAGGGTCGATCGGCGAGACAGGAGCAGACGAGTCGGGCGCTGAGGTGCGGTGAGAGATCTCAAATTGAGTAGCATCATCCTCGGACTCTGGACTCAGAACTATCAGACCGGCTGGAGCTAGTTAAGGACCCTCTGACTCTGAAAGTGTAAGTGAAGCGGCCTGGGTCTGCTCTGTGGTCTCAGTAATTGGGTTGGTCGGCTGTGAGGTAGAAGCTGA